TTCACTAGATGTGGATGGAGCCAATGATCTGCACTGGACTGCGCACATGACGTAGCCAACCGAAGCCAAGAGTAACAAGTAACATTTGTTTAAAAAATGGTTAAAATAATAACTATCTAAGCATTAAATATGGAAAAGCAAGTGGAATATGGGATATAAATAAGAAATACTGTAATTCTGAACTATTTTACTAAATACAGTCTAATACTCAGACATTAACTATTATGTCAAAGCATTCTATAAACGGCTCCTATTATACAGGATCGTTTTTTTGGGTTATCAATGATTGTAAAGACAGCAAAATGCAATTTGATTATATAACTATGGGATAAAAAGAAAAGTGTGTTCAACTACTCTGGAACTTTTAAAATTTAATGTGATCCTAATGCTGCTATATAGTATTTCATTGCTGGTATGTAACTAATACCAACTAATTTTAAAAACTGTCTTTCAGACACAAATGATTGGACTCAAGGGGGTTTTATATACAATATGTCTTCTAGTGAAAATGGTGAAATGCTGCCTGGTGCCAAGGAGGTAAGCATCTAGTCATAATGAGTGTGGACAAAATTTAAGTACAAAAAAACATCCCTTGCTTCTGTTAACTGATTTGCTGACCCACCTTTTTCAGGACAGGGACAGCAAACTGTTGGGGGACTGTTACACCCTGGAGAGGCTTTCAGATGAACTGAGGGCGATGGAGAAGAGTTTAACTCAGCTCTTCAAGTCCAAGAAAGAAGAGCAGATATGTGACTACTGGACCAAACTGGCATTAAAAGTCGACAAAACCTTCTTTTTTATTTACGTCATAGTAGTCATCCTGTTTCTGGTTCTAATTTTCTTAGAATGGAATAAGTGATTCGAGCTCATTGTTACTGCATATTAAATATCAGCTGTATATATTTGGGTCCATCTGAGCACTTATCTGAACTGCTTTGTAGAAAGAGTAGAAAAATATATTCAGATGTATTTGTTATAACCTGAATAATGTATCTGTTCTATATAAAAGTAGATTGATGTGCAAATGTTTGGCATTAATTTGAAGTTATTCAGATATTGCTATAAGATAACCAACCTATTCATAACACTGAGTTAGTGGTGGCCTTAACAGCCGCTTCTCCATTTTTTCTTCATTTAAAGGACCAGGACAATCTTAACCTCTCAAAAGACCTGGTGACATTTAATGCAATTAGTCATAGAGGAGCTGCAATTATCCTTATCATCATTCATTTATTTGTAAGTAACTGATTGTGAAAACCTTGTCAATGGATTAAAGATGTATACATTATCATATAACTTTTTAAATGTGTTGGAATATTAGAAAATAATAGAAAACTTACAATACCTTGTTCAGCCTTTAAAAAAACATTTCCAGTCCCATCACTGGTTTTTCAGTAACGTGTGAATATGGTGTTTGAAATTAGAAGGTTTGTTAGAGGGTTTTCCTTCAGCACATTCAAATTTTAACAATGTTAATTATTACACAACTACCGGTACGTGAAAATCTAAATGATTTTAATTTAAGCTTGAACAGAGATTGCTAGGTTTTATAAATCCAACAATCACTTATAGATCTTAAACTCTGAATTGCATGTGGGATTTATCTTAGTATGTGCAATGAATGGGCATGTGGCAGGTGACCTACAAAGATTGTTGCACAAATGCTAAAATGTACAAATCAATTAGGTTCCATCCATTCAAATTAGCAGATTGCATGTTCAACAAGCATGAAGATAGATGTAATAATGATAATTATAAATCAGTAAGATTGACCACATTTTATGAATCCCTTTTATATTTAGGAATCTTTGTTGTCTTAATCACATATAGTTCTGCATTATGCACACATTGGATGAGTTAAGCAGTAGTTTTCTTTCCTCTTTAATGTTTCATAGAAGAATCCTAGTTTATTTCAGAAGCACATATCTTCTTCTCCACATAAAATACAGAGAGCAAGTTCTGAAAAAGGCAACCTATTCTCATTATGAGTGCGCATGAAATCGTACGAAAAGTTATGGACCATAATTTCGTACGTTTTGGACATTTTTTTCGTCGTACGTGCATGCGCATCTGAAGCACCATTCATGAATATAGAATATAAATTACAATTAGCCCTAACCCTGGCCCTAACCCTAAGATATAAAACAGCAAGCAACGTAGTTAGAGACATGAATAAGTGATGATTGCACTGTTTTTCCCAATTTTACGTCCGTCCGCGGATCTGCTTTTTTTTTCTGTCTGCCAGCGCATGCGCACTGATGTGGTTTTTTGAGGAAAAAAGTCCAAAACGTACGAAATAGTGTGCATAACTTTTCGTACGATTTCATACACACTGATAATGAGAATATGTTGAAAAATGGCATGAATTCCATGTTTCTGATTTAAAGTGATGGTATATTGATGTGAATAATTATAAAATTGTTGCAACTTTGTTGTCAGTTTATGATTAACATACTAACAATCTGAAAATCTAATTAGTTAGGACTTTATACTTGAGAATATCACTCATTATACACTTTATTTTAAGAGGGAAGTATTTGTTTTGGTGGTAAAGAATATTCCAATGGGAACAACAAGTTCACTCAGTAGTGGTGGCCATGGCTTCCCCCATTGGCCACCCCTGGCCCATCTTCTAGGTCAGCCCCTGCATCCCACTGCATCAATTTGTTGTCAGCCTGCATAGAAATGTTGTCTCTGCTAATATTTTTCTGCTGTTATTATTTCTCACAATCCAGATATGTTTCCATGTACAGTACAGAGAAACGCTCTCTGCCAATGCCTTCTTTGAGGCAAAAATGACTGCAGATATGTTTGTAATTTTGCACCTGAAGTACTAAAAAAGTTGCAGAAACTGATGCTGCAGTTATCTCTCTAATTTTGAAAATCACTTTGCATGTGGTAAATATTTAGATATGCACATGGATGTTGCACCTGTAGAAGATGTGGGGATGCAACACCCAGGCTGTATGATGTGTGTAGATGAGTGTCCGAACATCTAGTGGATGAAAAAGTAGTGGACTCGAAATTTCCCACAATGCACCTTGAAAAGTAGAACATCCATGGTAACTAGACAAGCAGATATATCCCAGATTGCTTTGAAAAGAGAGCTCTCAACGCAGAGTATTATGGGATTTGTTGTCACAACGGTGTCACTCCCCGATCCGTACCAGAAGCACGATCCATACCATCAGCTAATTTGCACATATTCAACCAAATATTCTTCCAGGTTGCCATAAATAATTTAATCATGGTGCTAATTTATATCCTTAAATCACTAAAGAATGCTAATACAAATCTATAAAACATTTTTTATGACTTTTCTGAGACAATTTGATGTTTTTTACATTTTCTTTATTAAACAGCTTGTCTGACGTGCTCAGAGGAGTCTGGCAAAATTTGATCAAACCATGTTTATCTTTTTTACTTGCCGTATTGGCCAAAATATGCTACAAGATTTTTTTGTTGGAAATGAAAATCTGGGGTCATCTTATAATCAGGGCGAGTGGACCTCTCAGCCCTTAAATAGCGAATCTGCCTAAGTTGCATGATATGAACTTGAGCTAGTTCATTTTTATCTGTGTGAACTATACTTTGAGCTTTTTCTTTTTAACTATGAACTGGGACAACATTGGCAACAGCCAACTAATCCTTTAGATGGTGGCAGTGGTTTACACTTTTTACTGCATAATACATGCATTGCAGTGTAGTTGCCATATTATTTAGCCTTCTGCTTCTAATTTCAACAAATAAAAGAGCTTTTTTCATTGATCTTAAAAATTATTGAGTGTCTAAGAAACAACAATTTCAGAACAAGATCCCTTTATAAGGTTTAAAATACAAGGCAAGAAATTATAAATAATTACCCCTTGGGCCAATACACTGATAAACATTTTTTTTTTTCAAAAACCAATGTGAACGATCTTTCATATGAGACAACAACTGGTATATTTAGTGACTACAAATAAACATTTAGGCTTATTTAGCTCATGTTCTAACACAACACCTTCCCTCTAACTTTGAGCAGGGGATGCATTTCTCTGCAGGCATGTGTTTCTCAACATAATGATGGACAGTGCTTTGGGCTATGAGCTGATCGCAGTCGGCAGAAATTGCTTCTGATTGGACACTCACACACAACAAGCCTTCCTTATACTGGTTATGAGAAAATTTGAATGGGGGAGTGGAGCGAGCAGTCCAGACAGAGCAGTCATTTATTCACTGAGAAAGAAAACACTGCTTACAGAGAAAAATGTTTTTAACTTCATGGCATGATATTTTTTCCAACTGAAATAAAAAACAGAATAAATACTTTGCCTGAAATGCAAAGTAACATCCAACTATAAATCTACCTTTATAAAAATGGACCTCTTCTCAGTCTATAATAATCTAGTAATTAATTACATTTCGACTTGAGGAATTGGGAACACAATACAGAAAAAAATTAGAGTCAGTCTCACTTCATTTTTTTTTTACTTTGTTTCAACATTCATTTCAGCTGAGCTTTCTTAGATGAGCTCAGATGTGGAAAACCACTGTTACTATGCTGCTCACCAAATCCAGTCTGTTCCTTTGCTTGGATTTGACGTGTGAAAGCTTAGGGGGAACTCAGACATAGAAGAAAAACGTACTTAGTTAGGTCCTCATAAAGCAAAACAGATCCCTTTTTAAATTTGCACTATATTTATTTTGCAATGCACTGCACCTTTTCATATTAATGCCCTTTTGCATTTTTAAACTGGTTTCCTTTTCTTATACACTGTTTACATTCTGATTACTGCTGTACTTTTATGGCAATTTCATTTCACTGTTGTAAGCTGTAAGCAACGTAATTACATTGTATATACACACTGTGTATACACTCTTTTTGTATACACCCTGTGTATACTAAGTTTTTCGAAGTATAATTCTTATTTTATTACCTGAGAATGTACCCCTTGCAATGCACTTACTGCGGTACAAACATGTTTGTATTTGTTCAAGACACACAGACCTTGTGAAGATCAGACCCAAAAGCATTGATGTTAAGGCTTTTCATGCAAAAAAAGAGGACTGTCGTTAATGTTGCACTAATTGGTAGGTAAACTGAGTTTGGTATGTCAACATTCTGCCGTTGATCACAATAGATTAAATGTAGAACCCAGCTGAATATCTGGCTGTAAAAGACAAAGAAACTCGTCTAAGATTGAAAAAAAAACAACAACAAAAAACAACAAGCTAGTGCAAATGAGCCTGATACCTTAACATAGTGGTCCTGTTTTTCAACTGGGTTAAAATGAGGTTTGCATTGTTATAACAAATAACAACAGGAGGATATTCTACACTGTTTAAATGTTCTCACTACATTTTGAAAATTATATCCAGATTGGCAGTCCTCCATCCATCTTCTCCCACTTATCTGTCAGTGTCACAGTAGAGCCGGTGGCTATCTGCGGCAGTCTATGGGTGACAGGAGGGGTACAACCTAGACATGTCACCAGTCTTTTAGAGAACAACACAAACACACATGGAGATATACAACCATGTCGAAAACACACCAAAAGATGATTTAGAGAAGCAAATAAACTTAACATTCATGTATTGAACTGTAGGAGGCAGCCAGAGTATGTTGATGTTTTTGGCCTTCTTCCCCTGGAAGGATTGCTTGAGTCTCACACTGAGCAGGGGATTAACCTCCACAAGTTCCGTTCAAGACCTCCTGGATTCCAAGTGACAGTCAGCTCCATAGTGCCTCAGGAACAAACCAAATCAAAACCTGTCCGCCCTCCAACGAGTTCCTCCCTCTGGTTAACCCACACAAGACTGGATTCTGGGAAGAAA